ATGAATCAAAGTTTATATAACACTTTACAACAACACCAGGAAGACCTTAGTCTTTAATCTGGACTCAAAAGGTGCAGATCAGTGAGAACCTGCAGACCGAGGGGCAGATTGTTCCAGTTTAGGTGCCGTAACCACAAAGGAACGATCACCCCACTGTGTACAGTATACCCGGAGCTAGGGACGCACACAACCATTTGATCAGCAGACCGGGGAGCTCTGCTGGGGCAGTTAAATATAGGTTAGCGAAACCATTAAGAGCTTTAAAAAGCTAAGTTAAAAGTTTAAAATCAATCCAAAAACAGAGCGGGAGGCAGTGCAGGGAGGAGAGGATGGGAGCGATGTGGCTTTGCCTGGATGAGCTAGCTTTAACACAATGATAGATCCAAACCCTAAAATTATGGCTTTTAGTTTCAGTGGAAAGATTTTTAGTGGCCCCATCTGCCACCCCCCCCCCCATGAAACATTTCTGCAGGAACCACTGAGTACAAAGACAAAACCAAACGTATTGAAGCAGCCTTAGGCCGTTTATTGATATTAAACAAGAACATTTGAAGCGATCCTTTAAAAAATGTAAAGGATGCAGACGCCCGATCCACCAGAACTGATAAAGAGTCCTTGATAGGTGGCAAAACCTTTTCAGAAGAACTGAGGTAAAGTCTAGTTGCCTCCGATTTAAACTCTTTTCTGGTTCTTGTGGAGATTGAAGTGTCATTTCCAGCCTGAAAGCTTTTCTTGCTCTTATAGCCTTGAGTAAAATAACTATTTTCTCTGTTCTCATGTATTGATCGGCCTTTAGACTGGCTGCAGCTCTCAGTATAACACTGAGCCAGCTCCTAATTTACTCTAACTGGATCAACCTGAGTTGGTGCAGCGCATCTGACATGTAACTAATAATGAAACAAGCAGAGGAAAAAAAAGGCTGCTAACATGTTTAAGTATGTCCATCTCTCAGATCTGGCTTTTTTTGCAAATGGGAAGGGATCCAAAAGACAATTGTTAGCAGGTCTAATTTCAATGGGAAAAAGAATAAAACAACAACTATTCTAACAGTTTGTTATCTGTACACCAGAGGTCACGAATTAGCGGACCGTGGTCCGGATCCAGACCCACCTGCTGGCTAATCTGGACCCAACTTGACTTAAAATATTTATAAATTACCGCATGTTGTCCAACGATAGTGTTAGGGATAGAACGGTTTATGAAAACCGTCCGAACCGTTCGGTTCGACTGTCTCGGTTCGGTTCGCGTGTGTTGTGTTCGGTTCATGCGCTGCTCCTTTTTCTCATAGGCGAAGCGTTTACACTCCAGAGCAGAAGGTGGCGGTACTGCGACCAAAGCCAACCACCAGTAGTAAACAAGAAGAAGAAGAAGCGAAGCAGCGTAGCCGGGTGTAGCAGAAAAAAATCAGTTGTGGAGAATTGTGTGGGTATGGCGAGTGGGAAAGAACAGGAGTTGGAAGACGCACCAGCAGCACTTTATAGGTCTGCTGTATGGGACCACTTTGCATTTAGAGTGACCTACGATTCAGCGTCTGCTCTGCCGATAATGCAAGCGTAGAAGAAGAAATGTGCTGTTTACCTGTGCAAAGAAAGAAACAAAGAAAGAAAAATGTCTGAGGACTTCAGTGTTGAGGAAGAGCATGAGTTCTTTGCCGAGCTGAATGCGCACTTTCATCTGGTTTGGTCTGCCGCGGTTTCCGTAGACTCGTGAACGCGCTTTTAGGAAATCCTATACACTACTATTTATGCTCTAAAAACATTCTAAATGACTTCGTTTTGAGTAAATTATGGACGCTACCCACTCAGGACACTTGGAATACATTGGACGAGCAGTATGGAGGAATATTGACACGTTTTTTGTGGACTTTTATGGACCTTTCTGCCTCGGGCGCCATAGACCTCCATTATTTGAATGTCAGCAGACAGCAAGAAGCCTCCCAGATCTCCAGATGCATTTGAGATATCAAAAAAGTACTCCAGAGTGTTGTTCAGCATGGGGGTGAGTAGAAAATGAAGCCTAATCATGTTTTGGGTGTACTATTCCTTTAAGTAGGTTCGCTGAAGTAGGTTCGGCTCATTTTCCCTTAAAGGTGGAGTTCATTGTGCTTTGTGGACAGACTTTTTATATCCCTCTAAAAAAATGGTATACTCTAAACTGTGTGTCCGTGCTCATCATGTTTTGCTTTTTTCTTAATGGTGAGTGTGAAATACCACTATAAACTGTATTTCAATGCAAGAAGGAAGAAAGGTGTGATGCTTGTAACCTACAGGTGCTGGTCATAAAATTAGAATATCATGAAAAAGTAGATTGATTTCAGTAATTCCATTTAAAAAGTGAAACTTGTATATTATATTCATACATTACATACAAACTCATATATTTCAGATGTTTATTTTGTTTAATTTTGATGATTACAAATGACAACAAATGAAAATCTCAAATTCATCATATCAGAAAATTAGAATATTGCTGAAGACCAATAAAAACAAAGGATTTATAGAAATGTTGGCCAACTGAAAAGTATGAACATGAAAAGTATGAGCATGTACAGCACTCAGTATTTAGTTGGGCCTCCTTTGGCCTGTATTACTGCAGCAATGCGGCGTGGCATGGAGTCGATCAGTCTGTGGCACTGCTCAGGTGTTATGATAGCCCAGGTTGCTCTAATAGTGGCTTTTAGCTCTTCTGAATTGTTGGGTCTGGTGTATTGCATCTTCTTCTTCACAATACCCCATAGATTTTCTATGGGGTTAAGGTCAGGAGAGTTTGCTGGCCAATTAAGAACAGGGATACCATGGTCCTTCAACCAGGTACTGGTAGCTTTGGCACTGTGTGCAGGTGCCAAGTCCTGTTGGAAAATGAAATCTGCATCTCCAAAAAGTTGGTCAGCTGCAGGAAGCATGAAGTGCTCTAAAACTTCCTGGTATGTGGCTGCGTTGACCCTGGACCTCAGAAAACACAATGGACCAACACCAGCAGATGACATGGCACCCCAAACCATCACTGACTGTGGAAACTTTACACTGGACTTCAAGCAACGTGGATGAAGTGCCTCTCTTCTTTTCCTCCAGACTCTGGGACCTTGATTTCCAAAGGAAATGCAAAATTTACTTTCATCAGAGAACATGACTTTGGACCACTCACCAGCAGTCCAGTCCTGTTTCTCTTTAGCCCAGGCAAGACGCTTCTGACGCTGTCTGTGGTTCAAGAGTGGCTTGACACAAGGAATGCGACAGCAGAAACCCATGTCTTTCATACGTCTGTGTGTGGTGGTTCTTGAAGCACTCACTCCAGCTGCAGTCCACTCTTTGTGAATCTCCCCCACATTTTTGAAGGGGTTTTGTTTCACAATCCTCTCCAGGGTGCGGTTATCTCTCTTGCTTGTACACTTTTTTCGACCACATCTTTTCCTTCCCTTCGCCTCTCTATTAATGTGCTTGGACACTGAGCTCTGTGAACAGCCAGCCTCTTTAGCGATGACCTTTTGTATCTTGCCCTCCTTGTGCAAGGTGTCGATGGTCGTCTTTTGGACAACTGTCAAGTCAGCAGTCTTCCCCATGATTGTGTAGCCTATAGAACTAGACTGAAAGACCATTTAAAGGCTTTTGCAGGTGGTTTGAGTTAATTAGCTGATTAGAGTGTGGCACCAGGGGCCATCAATTTTGAACCTTTTCACAATATTCTAATTTTCTGATATGATGAATTTGAGTTTTTTATTTGTTGTCATTTGTAATCATCAAAATTAAACAAAATAAACATCTGAAATATATGAGTTTGTATGTAATGTATGAATATAATATACAAGTTTCACTTTTTAAATGGAATTACTGAAATCAATCTACTTTTTCATGATATTCTAATTTTATGACCAGCACCTGTAGTGTGAAGGCTTTGGAAGGCATTCAATTGACTCACGGCTGTGTGTCAAAGTTTACAATTCACCACTTCACCACTACTACTCTTAATAGTAGTAGTATCAGTAGGACTGCTGGTTTCGTTGATTTCGGTATGTTGACTGATGGAATCATAGATTATTTGTTTTCATTGTCCACATGCCACCTATTCTGGCAGTGAATGCTTCCAAACCGCTGAGCTTTCATGGATTCATTCTTGAAGAACTGCCTGTCTGCCTCTATATTGTATTGTTTTGCCCGAGCTGAAAATCGTTCCGAGTCTGGTTAGAACGTTTCGAGTCAGTGTTTTTTTTTCCTCTCTCGCTCTGCTCCCGTGTCCCGTCTCTCGGTGTGACATCATCGGATCTGTCGCTTTGAGTCATCTGATTTGCGGTCGCATTTCTCTGACGTACAGAATAGCTACGTGGAGGAGGACCGACACAGCAGCACTCAGTGAATATTAACCAGCAGCTTTTAAGATGCCATCAAAAAATCTGTTTATTAGACATCCAGAGCTTTTTCAGCTAAAAATGGCAACAGATTGTCAGTTTATACAAGTTAGTATTATGATGCAAGAAGCTGAGAAAACTGTTTTTATGTTGTGTTCTTCTTTACTAGTTAAAAAAATCTTGGCTTTTCAGAGGACCATCCCTCCCAGTTACAGGTTAAAATGAACACGTTTTCTAATTGTGCAGATAGAATCAGACTGCAGAGCTTCTACACATCTTGAAATGTTGTTTCTGGCTTCATTATATTAGTAAATAGGTTCATAAATCTTTTTAAACAGAGCACAGAGAGAAGAAGGGAGAGCTGCAGATTTGAAAGAACATGAAAGAAAATATGTCTTCAAGTTTACCAGAAAGTTTACAAGAAAAAAATATAATTAAAATGCAGCATATCCATATTTTTTTGGATTGATGGATAATTTTTGTAAAATACAAAAGCGTTCGGGTGGAGTAACTGTAGGTCCATCAGCCCCCAGCCTTATAGCGCCCCCACATACTTTCATTTCAGAGTTACACCCTTGGTGGGGCGCTCTGAAACCTGTTAGAGAAGCAATATTTCATCAGCATGGCCGTTAACGCAGATTCATTTTCCTCTCCTCAGTCCAACAGCTACATGTGCAGCAGCCAGGGGACAGTTCTAAGCTTCACCATAGATTTTGGATCAGGGTTCAGCTGCTCAGACGTCGCTTCAACGGTAATTATCCCCCCCACTTATTGGTGCATTTTTTTAACAGAATCTTGATCTTCTCCACTTCTACATCCTTTCTTCTCTTCTGATGCGCTCGTTATTGAAATCAGAGTCCTTTGTTTTATAAATGCCTCTCATGCTCCGCAGACGGTTCTGTGGAGATACAAGTTCTCTCAACTCAAAGGCTCCTCTGACGATGGGAAGACGAGAGTAAAGCTGCTTTTCAAGAACGCTGAGAGCAATCAAATAGAAATGAAGGTAAGAATATATCTTTTCTGTGTCTCCATAAATCATAATGCTGCTTTTAAGCTCATATTTTAGCCCAATAACTGCCTCCACACCAGTTATAACAGTGAAAACGAGTCACAGAGGAACGTTGAACAGAAATGTGTTAAACTTGAAGATAATAGTAGGAAATATTACATGGAGTGGATTTTATTCCATTATTGTTGACAGAAAAGAACATGTTTTATGATGTAATACAGAATTGAAAACTGTAATAAAAAAAAGAAGAAGTTGCTCGTCCACGTGGAAAGGAGCCAGCTGAGGAGGATCGGGCATCTGTTCCGGATGCCTCCTGGTCGCCTCCCTCAGGAGGTGTTCCAGGCATGTCCCATTGGGAGGAGGCCTGCTGGAGGGACCAGGACACGCTGGAGATACTATGTCTCTGAGCTGCCTGGTGTCGCCTCGGGGAGCAGCTGGAGGAGGGAAGTCTGGGCATCTCTGCTTAGACTGCTGCCTCTGCAACCCGGATAAAGAGGAAGAACATGGATGGATGGATGGATGGATGGATGGATGGATGGATGGATGGATGGATGATGAAAGATGGATGGATGGATGATTGATGGATGGATGGATGGATGGATGGATGGATGATGAAAGATGGATGGATGGATGATTGATGGATGATGGATGGATGGATGGATGATGAAAGATGGATGGATGATGGATGGATGATGAAAGATGGATGGATGGATGGATGATTGATGGATGATGGATGGATGGATGGATGATGGATGATGAAAGATGGATGGATGGATGATTGATGGATGATGGATGGATGATGGATGGATGGATGGATGGATGGATGGATGATGAAAGATGGATGGATGGATGATTGATGGATGATGGATGGATGATGGATGGATGGATGGATGAATGATGAAAGATGGATGGATGGATGAGGGATGGATGGATGGATGATGGATGGATGGATGAGGGATGGATGGATGGATGATGGATGGATGGATGGATGATGGATGGATGGATGGATGATGGATGGATGGATGGATGATGAAAGATGGATGGATGGATGATGAAAGATGGATGGATGGATGATGAAAGATGGATGGATGGATGGATGGATGGATGGATGGATGGATGGATGGATGGATGATGGATGGATGGATGATGGATGGATGGATGGATGATGGATGGATGATGAATGGATGGATGGATGGATGAGGGATGGATGGATGATGAAAGATGGATGGATGGATGGATGGATGGATGATGGATGGATGGATTGATGATGGATGGATGATGAAAGATGAATGGATGGATGAGGGATGGATGGATGGATGATGGATGGATGGATGGATGGATGATGGATGGATGGATGGATGATGGATGGATGGATGATGAAAGATGGATGGATGGATGGATGGATGGATGATGGATGGATGGATGATGAAAGATGGATGGATGGATGATGAAAGATGGATGGATGGATGATTGATGGATGACGGATGGATGGATGATGGATGGATGGATGGATGGATGGTGGATGGATGGATGATGAATGGATGGATGATTGATGGATGATGGATGGATGATGGATGGATGGATGGATGAATGATGAAAGATGGATGGATGGATGAGGGATGGATGGATGGATGATGGATGGATGGATGGATGAGGGATGGATGATGGATGGATGGATGGATGGATGATGGATGGATGATGGATGGATGGATGATGAAAGATGGATGGATGGATGATGAAAGATGGATGGATGGATGGATGGATGGATGATGGATGGATGGATGATGGATGGATGGATGGATGATGGATGGATGATGAATGGATGGATGGATGGATGAGGGATGGATGGATGATGAAAGATGGATGGATGGATGGATGGATGGATGATGGATGGATGGATTGATGATGGATGGATGATGAAAGATGAATGGATGGATGAGGGATGGATGGATGGATGATGGATGGATGGATGGATGGATGATGGATGGATGGATGGATGATGGATGGATGGATGATGAAAGATGGATGGATGGATGGATGGATGATGGATGGATGGATGATGAAAGATGGATGGATGGATGGATGGATGATGGATGGATGGATGATGAAAGATGGATGGATGGATGATTGATGGATGACGGATGGATGGATGATGGATGGATGGATGGATGGATGGTGGATGGATGGATGATGAATGGATGGATGGATGGATGATGGATGGATGGATGATGGATGGATGGATGGATGGGTGGATGGATGATGGATGGATGGATGGATGGATGATGGATGGATGGATGATGAAAGATGGATGGATGGATGATTGATGGATGGATGATGGATGGATGGATGGTGGATGGATGATGGATGGATAGATGGATGGATGGATGGATGATGGATGGATGATGGATGGATGGATGGATGGATGGATGATGAAAGATGGATGGATGGATGGATGATGGATGGATGGATGGATGGATTGATGATGGATGGATGATGGATGGATGGATGATGAAAGATGGATGGATGGATGATGAAAGATGGATGGATGGATGATGGATGGATGGATGGATGGATGATGGATGGATGGATGATGAAAGATGGATGGATGGATGATTGATGGATGACGGATGGATGGATGATGGATGGATGGATGGATGGATGGATGGTGGATGGATGATGGATGGATGGATGATGGATGGATGGATGATGGATGGATGGATGGATGATGAATGGATGGATGGATGATGGATGGATGGATGGATGATGAAAGATGGATGGCTGGATGATTGATGGATGATGGATGGATGGATGATGGATGGATGGATGGATGGTGGATGGATGGATGATGAATGGATGGATGGATGGATGGATGGATGGATGATGGATGGATGGATGGATGGATGATGAATGGATGGATGGATGATGAAAGATGGATGGATGGATGATTGATGGATGGATGATGGATGGATGGATGGATGGATGGTGGATGGATGATGAATGGATGGATGGATGATGGATGGATGGATGGATGATGGATGGATGGATGGATGGATGGATGGATGGATGGATGATGGATGGATGAATGCGAGCTTTCAAGGTTTCACTCGCAGATCAGTCTGGAGACTCTCCGTTAAAGAAAATTTGGAGCCGTTCACCAAACGAACGTCCAATCAGCGTTGGCTTTGAGGCGGGTTGAGGTGTGACGCAACGAGAAGCGCGACAGTTCAGTCTAAAGAACATGGCGGCTTCAGCCGATGAAACTAGCGTTAGGGTGGCTATCGAGCAAGTTTTATGGGAATTACAGAGTATTTCTTCACTGAAAGAAGAGCAAAACACTGCTCTGGAGGCTTTTCTCAGAGGAAAAGATGTTTTTGCTCTTCTCCCGACTGGTTTCGGCAAGAGTTTGATCTATCAATTGGCTCCTCTTCGTCGTCGCTCTGTTAGTACGTCATATGCTTCGTTGATCTGATTGGTTTATTTGGCCCGTCTATCACCAACATAGGCCAATCAGCTAACCAGTATTTTCGCCCCTTCCCAAAATTACTTCAACGGAAGGTTTCCAGATGGATATGCTGAGCAAATCCATCTGGTGGAGTCAGGTTAGCAGTAAAGCACATTCACATGAAAATTACTCTGAATTAAAAACACTGATCATTTATTGAACAGGATGGAATAATTTCATATTTAAAGTACTTTCAAAAGTTTGAATTCTGAATATGAGCGGACTTTTCCTTTAAGGAAAAAGCTAAAAAAATGCTAAAATCTTGATGCTGGTTTATAAACCAGCACTTCTTCTCTTCCTTCTATATTTTTCTCTCAGGAGCTGGAGTTTGCCAACCTAACTGCAGTCCTCCACTGTATTCACTCCTTTATCGCTGCCAAAGTGGCCTCCATGGACCCTCACTTCATGTGCAGTCAAAGCTTCCCTGGACAATATGTGAACAGTTAAAGAAAGATTCCTTCCTGTGATTTACCTCCAGATATGTTTCTGTTCTTACTGCTATTTTTCTATAAACGTCTGTAAAGCAGATCTCTGTGAAAGACTTTAAAGGTAGATTACGCAGAGATTCGTTCTTATCCGATTTCCAAAATGAAGGCAAACATTTATCCTTCTTTCCTTTTTTTACTTTAAATCGAAACATGAGCCTGAGGAGCACTTCCTGTTACAGCTCAGGAATAAGGAGATAACGATGCAGAAGGAGAGCAGCAATAAGTTTGTCATTCTTTAGCGACGGGTGTTAATAAAGCTTTTAAAAGACTGATGTTGGTTTTACATTTAAAGTTCTACAGTTTGTCTCTAATGTTTGTGAAATCCAGGATTACTGTGTAATAAAGTAAAAACTGTTTCAGCACCTTTCTGCATCATTTCCCTTAATTACTCTGTATAATTACCTAAATAAAACAGTTTGATACCAAGAAATTATCCAGTTTCCTGGTTAGTGTTTAGGCTGCAATACACTCAGTAGTATTAAACCTTTAGTTCCTATTTTTAGGATCAATAATTGACTCTGTTTGTTAGGGCCAGGTTAAGAGATTTTTAAAATTTTGTGAATAAAGTCGTAAAATTACCAAAATGAAGTCAAGAGAATGAAGTCAAACCACAACCTCTTTCAGAAAGAAAGCTTGGAGCTCCGCCCAGCAGATGACGTCCGACCAGCTCCACCAATCAGCAACCAGAGTCCACTTTGACATCCTGCCCAGTTTGATGCTGCTGCTAAAAGATTTCCTGATTTGTCAAACCGATGCTAAAGTAGAACTTCACATGATGCTCCACATTCCTCATTCTAGGGAAGGAAGGGCTTCTTGGAAGAGTTGTCATAAAATACAACATTACAACATAATGTTGTAATGTTGTCGTCTGTTCCTGTTTGGCTGTGACGTCATCCTGGAAAGAAACATCAGCTGTGCTGCTTCTATCAACACCCTTGTTTATAGATGTTGGAGATCGGCCTGTTTTCCAGTGTGGTCCTGTTTCTCTGACCGTGACTGGCTGGATGTGCTCTCTTCGTCCTCTGGCATGGGAGCTGCCTTGGAGCTCGTCTGCCTGGCTGCGTGTTTCCTGGACGGGGCCACCTTTTACAGCTGCTTTTTGTATCTCTGCTTCTGTCTCCTTGAACCCCAGTCGGCAGATGGCCGCTCACACTGAGCCTGGTTCTGCTGGAGGTTTCTTCCTGTTAAAAGGGAGTTTTTCCTCTCCACTGTCGCTACAAGCATGCTTAGTGTGGGGGATTGTATTTGAGTCAATGAGTCAATGCAATCAACTGGTTTTCCTTAGATAGAAAACTTTGTATCAATTTGACTGTATGATCTGGTTGAACTGTAAAGTGCCTTGAGATGACATGTGTTGTGAATTTGGCGCTATATAAATAAACTGAATTGAATTGAAATTGAATGTTACAACTTGTTTCTCGTAATTTTAGGACATTGTTCTCTTAATATTACGACTTTATTTCAGTAATTTTACGACTTTATTCTCGTAATTGTATGACCTTATTCTCATAATTTTACAACTTTATTCTCGTAATGTTACGACTTTATTCTCCTAATTTTAGAACTTTATTCTTGTAATGTTACGACTTTATTCTCCTAATTTTTGGACTTTATTCTCGTAATGTTTCAACTTTATTCTCGTAATGTTACAACTTTATTCTCGTAATGTTACGACTTTATTCTCGTAATGTTACAACTTTATTCTCATAATGTTACGACTTTATTCTCGTAATATTACGACTTTATTCTCCTAATTTTTTGACTTTATTCTCGTAATGTTTCGACTTTATTCTCGTAATGTTACGACTTTATTCTCGTAATGTTACAACTTTATTCTCATAATGTTACGACTTTATTCTCGTAATATTACGACTTTATTCTCCTAATTTTAGAACTTTATTCTCGTAATGTTACGACTTTATTCTCGTAATGTTACAACTTTATTCTCGTAATGTTACGACTTTATTCTCGTTATATTACGAGTTTATTCTCCTAATTTTAGAACTTTATTCTCGTAATGTTACAGCTTTATTCTCCTAATTTTTGGACTTTATTCTCGTAATGTTTCGACTTTATTCTCGTAATGTTACAACTTTATTCTCGTAATGTTACGACTTTATTCTCGTAATGTTACAACTTTATTCTCATAATGTTACGACTTTATTCTCGTAATATTACGACTTTATTCTCCTAATTTTTTGACTTTATTCTCGTAATGTTTCGACTTTATTCTCGTAATGTTACAACTTTATTCTCGTAATGTTACGACTTTATTCTCGTAATGTTACAACTTTATTCTCATAATGTTACGACTTTATTCTCGTAATATTACGACTTTATTCTCCTAATTTTAGAACTTTATTCTCGTAATGTTACGACTTTATTCTCGTAATGTTACAACTTTATTCTCGTAATGTTACGACTTTATTCTCGTTATATTACGAGTTTATTCTCCTAATTTTAGAACTTTATTCTCGTAATGTTACAGCTTTATTCTCGTAATGTTACGACTTTATTCTCGTAATGTTTCGACTTTATTCTCGTAATGTTACAACTTTATTCTCGTAATGTTACGACTTTATTCTCCTAATTTTAGAACTTTATTCTCGTAATGTTTCGACTTTATTCTCGTAATTGTACGACTTTATTCCGTAATGTTACGAATTTATTCTCCTAATTTTTTTTACTACTTTATTCTCATAGTTTTACGACTTTATTACGACAATAAAGTCGTAATTTAAAGACTATTCTCGGTGCGACTTTATTCCCTTAATTTTACAACTTTATTATCGAAATAGAAGGAAAAATGATGTTGACATGATGTTATAGTGGGATTTTAGTTGTATCCCAAAAACTGAGTCTCACCTGTTTAACATCTTTCTGCAGAGCTGTAATAGGAAGTGCCTGCCTGAGCTTAGAGCTTTTTACAAACCGATTCCAAATATCACAGCAAGCAGAATCAACCAGATATTGGATGGAGCAGAACTTTGCTCTAAAGCAGAGTTTATTCTTTTTAAAGCTTTTTTAACTGAGAATTTCAGTCCAAATTAAATTGATGTGAAAAGCTTTAGAGATCGGAAGTTTCCTCAAGGACCAAGATGGATATCATCACATCCAGGAGCAATGTCTCCTCATCCGTGAAGCTAAACATTATTATGGTGCCACCAGTGCAGAGCTTGATTCAGACTGGCAGCAGCTCCGTGTGAGTGCATCCACGGGAGACGATGGAGAGCAGGAGAACGTTCCAAATGGATTTCCATACAGATGTTTCCTTCTGGTGGATGTGGAGAGGGAAAAAATTGAGAAATTCATGATGGGATCAAACTTCTTCCCAAACTACAGGAACCGTTTGGAGATGATCTGTGGATTTTATCTCACAGGAAACTCCAGCTGTAAGATCCCTTGCTTGGCGGTTCTGCTATGAGCTGAAAATACTGGATGCCAAGTTCTTCTTGGGGGGATTAAATATATAACAAGTGCATAGATTTAACACGGTGATCAGAACACCACCCAGATCTGAACCAAACAGAACCAGAGAGTGGCGGCCTCTGTTCAATTCAAGAGTTCAACATTTGAAGCACCAGTTGATAACCAGCAGGTCAGAGGGGGTTAAAGGAGCAAAGATGAAAATATTGGTGCAGCTGAAGTTTATTGAATATCCTTAAAAAAAACTTTAATGTGTCAATTTCTACTGGGTAAGATACCTGTCAATAAAGAGGTTTTTGTTCTTAAATTCAAGATTTGTATTTTTTTCTTGTCAACTCAAAAATGTGTGATATCAAATGTTTCATCTGTGCGAAGTTTCACCATTTAAGCAGTTTAAATATAAGTCAGAGTTACAACAATACAAGCAGGAATCACAAATGAACTAATGCGGCTTTACAAACAATGATGTAGATGTTTTGGTCCCTACCAGTAGGTGGCGGTAATGCAGCTGAAAGTTGTTAAAGGAGAAGTCCGGTCAGCAAAGAATAATCAATATATTATTATCTATACCTAAAACTAATATGTTCCTATCACTAATATGTGATTTATTGAATCTGGGAGCGGCCATTTTTGTCCAAATCTAGTAGCCCCTCCCTCCTGCCATCTCACTTTTGTGACGTCACAGTGCGGTCACAACTCCATTTTATTTCACTCAATAAAATGGAAATTAATTATTTAAAAATCATACATTGTATTTTTCTGTATTTTTGTTTTAGATTCCATCACTCACAGTTGAAGAGTACCTATGATACAAATTACAGTCTTCTACAAGCTTTGCAAGCGGGAAAACCTGAAAAATCAACAGTGTATCAAATACTTGTTCTCCCCACTGTACACTACACCACGCACCATCAGGCTGAAAGTAGGCCCGATCGAAAAATTCTTGCACGACTGGAAAATCGGCCCGAAATGGGCAAAAAGTGGCACAGTGTACGCCCAGCTTTAGAGGTTGGATTTTTACCGGTGAAGTTGTGTTTGTATTTTTGCAGGTTTCTGCTTGGCTTTTGTTTTCACATTTGAAACATCTGTGTCATGATGCGTTGGTTTTACTAGCCCATATGCAGACTCACAGACACGGAGGGAGGAATAAAAGTCCAATATTTATTGGAACACGGAGGAATCTACAGGTTCAAAGCTCAGACAGGCATGATGGCAAAGGTAAGACACACGATCCAGCACAGAGAGATATTCACACACAGCTTATATAGGAAACTTCCGCAATCAGCAGACTGGAAACAGCTGATCAAGCTGCGTCCAAACTCCCCAGGCTTGGATCCACGGCGCCCTCTGGTGGGCAAAGTCCCGGATCCTGACAGTACCCCCCTCAAGGGCGGATTCCAGACGCCCCAAAGAAAACAAAAAAAACAACTCGCCCATGGAGGGCGAAGGGGGAACCAGGGATGCCAGAAAAAGGCTCAGGTGGCCGGCCATGAAACCGGCAGCAGAGCAGAGACTCAAAAGCTGCAGGGGCCTTGGAAGAGGGCGTCAACTCCGCTTCAACAGGAAGCACCGGGAGAAACTCTGTCTCCGCTTCCGCATGAAGCCCCGGGAAGGACGCCGTCTCCGCTCCCGCAGCTCTGCAACAGGTCCGCCCAATACGGCTCCGCCTCAGGAACAGAGGAATCCACCGAATGTGGCTCCACCTCAAGGAACCGAGGGATCCACCGATTGTGGCTCCACCTCAATGAACCGAGGGATCCACCGATTGTGGCTCCACCTCCGAAGGCTCTGGAAGGCGCAGAACAGGCCCAGGGGTCTCTCAGACGGCACAGAGCGGGCTCAAGGGTCTCCCAGACGACGCAGAGCGGGCTCAGGGGTCTCCTAGACGGCACATAGCGAGCTCAGGGTTTTCCAGACGGCACAGAGCGGGCTCAGGGGTCTCCTAGACGGCACAGAGCGAGCTCCCCAGGAGCGCGTAGAAGGAGTCTGCGGGGCTAGTCTGTTGGCTGGATCGTTCTGTCATGATGCGTTGGTTTTACTAGCCCATATGCAGACTCACAGACACGAAGGAATCTACAGGTTCAAAGCTCAGACAGGCATGATGGCAAAGGTAAGACACACGATCCAGCACAGAGACATATTCACACACAGCTTATATAGGAAACTTCCGCAATCAGCAGACTGGAAACAGCTGATCAAGCTGCGTCCAAACTCCCCAGGCTTGGATCCACGGCGCCCTCTGGTGGGCAAAGTCCCGGATCCTGACAATCTGACGAACTTAAACACCTGTTTGTTCTTCTTGATTTTGTTGACAGTTAATTCACCCCATTAATTCTCCCCCTGCTTACAACCATCTAAACAGCTTTACGCTGCGTCTGGAAAAAATGGTTCCTGTTCAGATGATCTGTAGCAGGTGGATCTAT